GTTTTGCATACTCACAACTGGAAACCCACTTTTCTCCAAACCTATGTGGCATTTTACAATTTTTCTCTATGTTTAAAATTATTTAAAACGTTAAGTTGAAAAATCCTTTGTCCCAGCTGGAGCAATGCCCAAGAACAAAGCAGTCCAGGGCATGACCGGAATCAGGAACACTGTCCCCTAGGACTCCAGTCCCTCTGGCTCTTGGACACACAGCTTCCAAAGGGCAGTCAGAAATCAGCCACAAGCTTGGGGACTTGGTTGCAGTTTCTCATTAGTATTTAAGTGTCATCTGTGGACTCATTTCTCTGGAGCTGGTTAAGGAAAAGGAAAGTCAGTAGAAGTGCCAAGGCCCCAGATTTCTTCTGTGTGTCTAGATATTAGGTCTCCTGAAGAAAACCTGAGGAGATGGGCGACAGTCTGGAGCAGAAGGTGTCTGAACTCACCAATGAGGAGCCCAGGTGAGAGGAGCTGGAAATCTGCACTTAGCCCTTGATCTGCCTGTGTGCTAGTGGGTTCATGAGTGAGACTCTGAGTCCATGAATTTGTCTGTGTGTGTCCGCATGTATTTTATATGCTTGTGTACCTGGTATTTAATAGTTGCATGTGTAAGTGTGTGTGTCTGTGGGAGCTATGTATCTGACTCAAAGTCCTGTTTTCATGCATGTAGAACAAGTTGTCACTTCTTGGCGTGTGGTGAGGGACTCCTGATTCATGGCTGTCATCATAAACACTGGCATCACAGCTGAGCGTCGGGAGTGAAACTGTTGTCTCTGCTGCTGGACAGGAAGACGCCCGACCTCACCAGGTACCAAGGTCAGGTCAGAGAGGGCTCACACCTCTGCTCAGCAGCATGTACTGGTGCACATGGGAGCTGTGCTGTGGGTGACACACTCGTGTGTGAGCGCTGGAAGGGGTGTTGTTTGATTTTCTCTGTGTGTATGAGACCATGTGTATGTGACCAAGTGATTGGATGTTGTTGCTGGTTTAATGACTGCCTGTGACTGAATATCCTTAACTGCACCAGGTAGACACCCGTCCCTGGAAGGGGATGGTCAGAAAGGTGGAGGCCTGCCTCTCAGTAATAGAGGGTGTGTGCTACTTGTTGTAGTGTGTGTGTGGCTGGATGTGCATATGTGCTGTGGTACGTGTTTCTTGTGACTTTTTACAAAAATATTTTTTATTGATTTCAGAGAAGAGAGAGGGAGAGAGACATAGAAACATATGTCTCTATGTTTGATGAGACAGAATCATTGATCAGCTGCCTCCTGCACACAACCCACTAGAGATTGAACCCACAGACCAGGCATGTATCCTGATCAGAATCGATTCGTGACCTCCTGGTTGATAGGTCGATACTCAACCACTGAGCAACACTGGCCAGGCTCTTGTAAGATTTTCTAATAGCGGTCTTGTGTGCTTTTAGTGATGTGTGTACAGCGCTTGAGTTATGTATATGTGGTGAGTTGAGTGTTACCAGATGAGTCCATGAGTCATATGTGTTAGTATTTTTGTGGGTGAGTGGTCCATCATTGTGTTTTGTGTATGTTTCACTTACTGTGTTACTTATGGTT